CCCTCCCCTTCCAACTCACGTGACATGTGACGGACGACCTTGAGATCATCACAAGGAAACTCAGACAATGATTACGAGAGAAATGCATCTGGGGCAATGACAGAACATCATTTAGAAGTGGTGGAATGATGACTGTAGGTGCTAAGGAGCTAGTTATTATGAGAAACTGGCAGGGTGCTGGGGCCACCAACCTGGTCGCAAATACTTTGAGTGGACGTGGGGATTCCCCACTAAGTAAAGGAGAGCCCACCTAAATGTTTTACCTTGAGGAAACATCTCTCCATGACACCAGCAGCAGCAATCTCAATGTAACAAGTAGAAACAGAACAAAATAAAGAGAGCAATTCTACAAAAACATTTCTTTTGTATCTGACATTACGTCATTAAACAGTTTCACGAGACGCGGTTTTCGTGCACGCTGATTACTGAATTGACGGCAATTTCTGATTGAGGTCACAATGTTTATTAAGATCCCGGGACCCCTTCAACATGATAATCATATGCTGATTGACTACCCAATAACATGATCAATAAAACGTGCAACAAACGAAACTACGTTCTACCTCCAAGATTCAAACGCAAAGGAATCTTCACTCGCAGACGGCTCGAATACAAACATCCGGCAAAAGAGCTGTACCACTTAAAGTCCTCTCCCTTCCATTTCAGCGCGGATTCTTACAGTAGAAGTAAGTTCTAGAAATAAAAGGAGGGCAGAAATGGGTTTCGTATTGTATGCATTTCCTTCCTAATTTCTGCCCTCTAAAAAATAACTGAGGGTTTTCGTGGGTGCGATATGGGAGCCAAAAGATGAGAGGAAGGAGGGGGTTATGCAAAAAAGTATTTATGAGGGAGCAGCCAAAGGTGGTCCAAAGACACCAAACAGATATCATATATCATTTCATTTCCAGGTCAACAATCTTTAACCAAACTTAACATCAATAACTTCACACGTGACACACATCATGCCGCTCAGTAGAGTCCGAAGGATCAAGCTATTTCCTGTAATCCGCTACTACTAAAAATTGAAAATACATTAACATTCAAGAAATGAAGATTCCTCCATACATGCATCACACTCCCCTAAGAACACACAGTTTTACTTCACCACGCAGATAGCAATTCTACTTTAGCCAATGAAGAGACACATTACATTTTCAAAAGACAAATTTTGTCATATTCACTACGAATCCATTCACAAGTTATCACCCTAAATATTGGACATGACAGTGACACTACAAGCCACCTGACGTAAACTAAACTGCCTCGCTTACAGATTAATACTGGAGCCTTTCTTTTCTTCACCAAACCCCACAATTTAAAACATTAACCATTTATGCAGACATTATTCCACACCAGAATAAAATACTGTCACTACAAACTCTACACCTTCTAACACACATGAATCAATGCAGACACGAGGTGCAATCATTGTGAGATACCGGCAGGACCCCTGAAAACCATCCAACTAACACGCAAGACATCCAGGGCCACTGAACCGAGGGCTGTCGCCAGACACAGGATGCGTCGATTGCGCCAACCGTGCACCGAGGCCGAATCCCCCCAACTGACGAGATACACATCATATTGAACAGCTCCACTCCTCAACTATTGCATTTACGTATACCCAAAGGCTACATGTGTTACAAATCACAAACCCTAATGCAACGGAACTGTTAGACTAAAAATTACCTCCGTGCCTACACCCTTCTTCCTACGTCAACTCCAGGCTAAGCTCTCAAGGCAACACTTTCCGCAAAACACTTCTCGTACATTACCTGAGTAATCAAAAGCAACCACTGTTCAGGAACTGCCATCAAATCACTGAATCCAAAGGCTGCCACGTAGCAGGTAACCTTGGGGAGAGGGTACGGGCAGGGACACTGATTCCAACTTTATTCAGTAACAGCACAGGGAAACGAATTAACAGAACAAATGCTCTACTCATATCAAGAAAGCTAACTAATGACAATTATCTGCAACGTATGTTATGGAGCGTTCGCAACAACTAAGTATAAACTATTCTTTTTGGAGGTGCCTTAAACCTCTTGACACCTGAGAATAAATCATTATAATTATCTAAAATATTCACAAGGTTTAAGACACATTCTTCTGTTTTACAAGGTGGCATAATCAAAAGGAATGGAGAATGCCTTGTAGGACAAGCAACATTCCTTCTTCTCGAATCTTCAGATCAATGGTAAAATGGGTTTCTCTCTTCAGCAGTAACTAGAGCATTCAGCATCAATTTCTGTGGATGGAAACAAATATTTCAATTCATGAACACAATTTTTGAACATGGCAACAAAACTTCATGAACAAGTACAAGTATTCATTGTGATCAGGCCAAATATTGAACTGCATATTTATGCTATAGGGGGGAACAATGATTTGACTGTTACACAAACATACTGCAATTTAATCTACAGTACTGAGTCCATAATCTCATTCATTCGCCTGTAAACACAGGGCAACGTACAATGGAACTTGTTATCTGTTTCAAATATTTACATCACTTAGCAGGCATGTCTACTACATTCCAGCACTCAATGAAAAACTCCTGAAGATTAAAATTTAAGGTTAAAGCATGTAGCGAGCCTCAACAAACAATGAGATAAAAAAAGTTCTTGTGCTTATATTTTAAACTGTGGCAGAATAAACTGTAGCTCAGGCTCGTGTGTGGAAGGAAACAATCTTGGCTGAACATAGGTACAATTCTTGAATTAAAGTGCAAAATTACTGAATTATTAATTAGTAAACACATCACATTAAAGGCTCCACAGCACTACACACATCACACGTGTAACAAAAACCTCTCATTAACAAAATCACTTCACCACGTCTACAAACGTTACCTAACCTCAAATTTTGATATCTTATGAACAATATACTCACTAGAGAATCATGAATGTCTCTAGCATACCACAGAAACTGCAATTATGCCAATCTCTCACCGCACGTAGGTAGGTCTTTCTACATATCAACTCACACTTAGTCACAACATGAAATTGGACAGACTCATCTCTCACACGGCAAGCACATCAAATGCATCCTAATGCTCATGCACTTAAGCAACGCATGCCTAGTCTTGTGGACACGGGTTCCTGTTCTGATATCAAGTCTGTCTAACAAAAACACTCCACTGCTTCTGTGGCAAGCAGCACGCAGCTCAGTAGAATCTGAAAGATCACTCTGTTTCCGCTACTCCTAAAAAGTGAAAATACATTCACATTCAACAAAACAAGATGCCTCCATACATGCATCACACTCCTCTAACAACACTTCTACCTTAGCCAATGAACAAGCACCTTCCATCCTCACTACAAACCAATTCACAAGTTAACTTTAAATATGGGTCACGTCAGTGCAAAGTTGTTACAGATATGATTCTGCCATAAAATGTTACAGAAATTTCACTGCATTTGTAGGACAATGAGTTCCGACTCTGCCTGGTTACTAAGCTGAAAACAACAGGATCATTGCTAGACAAAAAGTCAGGAAATGAACTGTGCTGACAGAAGAGTCATTGGACGACATCGGCGCTAGACTTGTGAAAGTCTCTGAAACGAATAGTGCGGGAGACGGCGTTTCAGCAATGTCTTTATGAAGGGCTACAAACTTGTTAAAACTGCAGCTGTGTAAGACAACAGTAGTTCATGCTCTGAAAAACATGATGTGGTTGTGAGAAGACATTTGATTGGTTTCTTCAGTCTGACCTGATGAAGTTTATCTACTGTTGGTGTTTCTTTTTCTGGCGAGGCCCAGTTTTCTTTACATGGAAAGGTGAATTCTCAGAAGAGATGGCATTGGAGTACAGATAATCTTTTTTTTCAAAACTCCCGAAGAGATGCGTGTGAGCCTCGGTGAATGCCTCGCCCTGTCTCTGCCGGCCTCGGCCTCTATACATACATCTTTATTACATTCCATGGATCCATAAGTTAGTCAGATGACATCAGAATGTGGAATAAGTGATAATAATACAATACATGTTATACAAACACAAGTCATATAAATGTCACAAAAATACAAACAAAGGATAAATTACGACTTACTTGTAGACATTAGGAATTCATCGACAGAGTTGGGTTGTAGCACCATCTTAATAGCCAGGTACAACTTTCACTAATTTTATCTTGTCCCGTCAGAAGAGACTAGTGCCTTCGTACCATCATAACAGCGTAGCGCCAAGTTATGGATGTGTTGTGATTCACACCAAAATAAAAAGAAAAAATGTTCAGAGTTTGCCACTGGAATACGGTGAAGGTGCAATGATTATTGGCTTATTTCAGCTGCACGGGTTAAATGGTAGGACTGGTATGAATTGTGATCATGGCATATTTTAAGATACTGGCTTTACATCTGCCCTGAGGGACTGAGGAAAAGCATGAAACACCTGTCATGATAGCTGGTTGTGTGAGCCAGAAGTGCTAGACTCTATGGTCTTTTTCCATCTGTTTCCATTATAACTCAGTTCTCTTTAAAGAAGGATTTATGTGACCTTCAAATTTTGAACAGCAACAGTCGTAAACTTTTCCCAGACCTGCAGCGACTTTCACTCTTTCTCATCAACTCTCAGGCCTCAAGATAATAAATGGGGGACAGTTTCTTCTGAAATGCTGTGCCATTTTATTAACAGTTCCACTAACTCAGGCCTGCTATTGCAAATTGGTCACATATTACTTAATAATCTTCTCTAATAAAATCAGTCATTAATGAGATGACATGAAACTGCTATTGTGTGGGCAGTCTTTCAGTGTCAGTCTCAGTTTCTGTAGTTGCATCCTAACTTTTGAGTTGACATTATTAATTAATTTGAACAGTTGCTAACAGTGATAATTGCTGTTTTCCACCATACCCTGTGACACAGAGAAGTACAAAGGGCGCACGTTCCCTGCCCACCGCGTACTTGCACGATCATCAGTAATGCAGGTAGGTTCTGAGACAGTTTCACAGTTTCTGAACAAAGACAACACCTGAGAAAATAATACGATTGCCACCAGTTGTACAGGCACAGGAATTTATTTTAAGCAACACGGTCTACAAGACTTTCCTATGTACATACGAGACATGCAGATTGAAGCTCAGATTTGAGTTACGGTGCGTGATTCAATTACCACTACAACAGATGGACACATTTAAAGCTTTCTACAGCATCTGTGACAGTGGAAATGAAAGCGAACAGTTTAAACTTCCAAGCTTTTATTGTTGTATAACCACAATACAACATTCTAACAACTTTTATCACACACTAGCATTAATTTACAATTGTGTTGCTGGTTTGTGATAAAAATGCTCGGAATGTTGCGTTACGATCATGCGTTAATAGACATTATGAAGGGCGTGAAGATATTATTGTAAAAGTTGAACTTCAGAAGCAAGAAAAGAATCTGGCGAAGAAATTATCTGTGGATTGGAATTTGTTCCATATTTTTTGAAGGAAACGCAATCAAAGTTAACGGAGCCCGACGGCATTGAAGACGACCAACACTGAATGTTGCTACATCTGCAGTACGGTCTTAAAGCAAATGGAGTTCCTGCCATAGAAATCGAGTCTTTTCTTGTGTGGAGTTCTTTATAGAAATACTTATCTCAAACCAGATGTTTCCCTTGTAAATGAATGGAAAGTTCTTATTTAAGAAGCCAGCTGGTACGACAATATGGACTTGCCATTCTCAAGCTTCATCTTTTTTGTTGCTTATTGCATTTGAATGAAAGAATTACACTTTTGCATATTTTGATAAACGACCCCTTAACCCATCAAAACATGACAGAGCTCTAAAAAAATGCATGGATTCTGCAGATTTATTTCTGGTCTTTCAGGATTGAGGGATATTAAAGGAAAATTCTTAACAGGACTAACAAATTTTAAAAAAACTTAATTTATCCCACTGAAGCAGTTTATTTTTAATAATAAATTAATATTTAATTTAAAATATATAATAACAATTATATTCACATAGGGGCTGAACCTGCAGCCGTAGTCTTAGAATAAATAAAACAGTTGAGGAAGCCACAAAAGGCAACAGATCTGCGACGCCAACACAAAAGAAATTCAGAAATAGTTTGAGAAATAAAATAACAGAAGACTGAAGTAGCAAAAGTCACATCCAGTGTTAAATCGTGTATATCCCTCAGAATGATAACTTATGCTATTAAAATATAACTAATTTAATCTTTAGTCTATGATACAGCAGGTAGGAATGACGACGGATGCCACTCGGAACTCTTTTTGACTGGCAAGATGAGCTACAGAGTTTGGGGTTGATACAAACGGAAGTTCACATCAATGAAAGAAGTAAATTACAGAAGCAGTTTCAGTTGTCTGAGCATTAGATAGATGGAAAGTGTCCAGGATACAGGCTCCACACAGCACAAGACACCTCACAATCTCTGCAACAGAAAAATGATCTTTCAGTTCTATGGTGAGCGCAGGGCTTCAGTCACATCAAACCGTCAATTGAAAAAAGATGCTGATGAAGGAAGATGAAGGAAAAGTGGGCGTGGTGTGCATTTTAGAATTTTCAGAAACAAGACCTCAGAGGCTTACACTCATGCACTCTTCAGGACAGGATGTCAGCAAGCAGATGGGCGACTGTCAGATGTTGTTTCTTCCCTCATACTAACTTATTTTAAAGGCTGAATTTCATCGGTGGATTTTTATTAGAAGTTCCATTGTAAGCACAGAACAGCTTATGGACTTGCCCATGTCTGACGTTGTCTTTCTCGTCTTCCAGTTTGCCCATCGAAGCTTCTCCCAAGTTCCCCAAGGTGCTACAAAATCTCACGCATTCACTGCAATCTAGAGAATTGCAATGAATGCAGGAAGTCCGAAGCTTCAGAGGCTGACGCTAACTTCCCTCCTCACCCCGCAAGTATCACACCGCACTTAGAGGGACGGCCTGGTAGAGGTCGAGTCATAGTCAACGGTTCGTGCAGACATCGAGTCCGTCAGAGGCAGGGTACGGGAGAGTCCGGGGATTGAAGACAACGGTTCTGGCAGGGATCGGGTGGGGAGAATTTTGAAGAAAAAAAAATCAAAATTTTCGAAAAGTCGAAAATGAAGGAAAATTTTTTAAAACGAGCACCAAACTTAATTTTTTTTAAATTGAGACATCAAAACTTTTTTCGATTTTTTTTAGTTATTTTCGCTTTTATGACGTTTCTAACCATTTCTAAGTATTTTGAAAATTTTCGAAATTTTAATTTTTCTAAAAATTATCGAAAAATAAAAAATGTATGAAAATCTCCAAAAAGCGCAGAAAAGTATAAATTTTGAAAAATTCAGACTTGCATTTTTTTACGAATTTGTCGAAAATATGAAGCATGCGAATGACCAGAACTCCATTTTTTTGAGTTCACTTGACGCGAGGACCGCGTATGAAGAAGGGCAGTCGCTTTTGAGTGGAAAGTGGAAGGCACGCAGTCTGTCTGTCAGCCTCGTGTGTACTCACCTGCGCGTTTTTAGTGGTGCTGAGACGCAAACTCGTCATCCCAACGTGGACCAGAAGATGGCGACCAGTCTGGTGTATCTCGAGGCCTGGAATAAGAAACCACGGCGACATCAGCCTTTCACAGTGCGCCTGTGTGACGTCATCTCTACACTGCGTGCCTCAGAAAAAAAGTTTTCATCGCAGATCTGGACTTGCTTTCGTCCGCTGTTTCCCGTTGGCTAATGACCGTATGACTCGAGGCACTGATTGTGTGTATAAACACCCATCACATCATTCTCTGACGATGGAGATACAGATGGCCTCCGAAACGTCGGGATTTTCTTCGGAATTTACGCGGCTGGTCGCCACAAATCTTCAAGTAACTGTGTTGAATGTTATAACCACTAATTAATACGAAATTAAAAGACAAAATGAAATCTTGTTCGAGGACATATTTCAGGACTGATAATTTAGGGACAGAAAGTTTCCTTTGGTGGCACCAAGTAAAACCATGAAGGGAAAGTGTCGGCGAGGGGCCCGATGCTAGCAGACGTCTTCCTGCCGAAGCCTCCACAATATCTCCGCCGTCGGTTAGCCCCGTGAGATGACATCTTGGAATCCCACTTAGTGGCCCTATTAAGGGCCCAACAAGCTCAGAAGCATCGGCTACTTCGGCTGTCGAGAAGACATCAGCAGGATCAACAAATAACTATCGACTCTGAGAGGAAGCTTCCTGCTTCACTGTAGCAGGTCTATGAGACTCGCCACTCGTCGACGTCTTGCACCGATCAACAGATCCTCCCACAAACTACAACTCGGTTTCGGCTAATTCAACCCAGCCAGTGGGGTGCCCGAACACCGTTGAAAGACGCGGTAAAGCACGTCTTTGCGTCTTAATCGCAAAGCCTTCAGGAGCAGCGAGATTCACAACGGGCCTCGTCACACTCAAGCCGAACGGCCAGCTTAAGAAGTCGGATTCAACGTGCAGCTTCTTTCCCAGTCGTTGCTGCGACATTATTCCTCAGTAGGGATACTTCCCGGCTTCCCTGGATGCGTCGAAGGTCAGCCAAGTGCAGCGGTACCCAGAAGATACACACGCATTCCGTCCATAATCATGACGTGCACTGCAAACCCTGGAATTACTTTTAATGTCAGTGGAGTCCTCCCGCCAAAGTAACAAACCCCGTCGAGCAGAGTCTTTCTTGAGACGCTAACAGTCGCTCAGTTAGTGTAGAAGTTCCCAGGGTTTTACGAAACAAGCCGAGCGACTTCAGCGCCAGTGACACTGTGATCAAAATGGAGGACAACGTCTGACACCCTCAACGCGAGACTGACAAATGAGCGCTTCTTTGCGCGCACAGAGGAGATGTTTAATGTTCGCAGACCTCGGGTAAAACCGCTGAAATAATGTGATTGGCCTTGGCAGGGCAACTGATAGTTGCTCTGTACTTCCGTTCTGCCACAACGGCACCCCCCGAGCGACATTTGTTACCACAAGACCAAGACGTGGAAGGGACAGGGAAGGAGCTGAGGGATGGCATTTCCCGTTGAATTTCAACGGACGCTTTCGTCTAGTCATTACAATGCAAAGACGAACATAAACCCGCCATGAGGCAGTTCTCAGCCTCACGCTGTCACGTAGGAACAGCTTCGTGGACAGGAACACTATTTGTCGATATTGTTTTAGCGTTTCGGAGGAACATACTGTCTCCATCGTCAGGGACCTACGTGAGAACGTCTTACCTGTTGCTTCCGGACTTTTCGTCTGTTGACGAAACCATAAATTCCGAATCCATTTCATCGTCTTCGTCGTCGTCGTCACTACTGCGCTGCTGTGATTGGTCAGCGTCCCTCTTGCCGATGGTCTGGAGCATTTCCCTGTTGGCTTGGATCTGGTCCTGGGACTGGCGCATGCGCCTTCGAGCTATTTCCAGCAGAAGTCGTTGCCTTAAGACGTCCAGTGGGTTGACGATCGAGAGCGAAGGTACAGCTCCGGTCCGCTTCATTCGACGTGCGGCCTGAGGGCGAAGAGTGACCATCTTGTTAAACTCGAGGAAGGAGAAAACATGGGAGACCTAGACACAGATGGTTTTCAGAGAAATAAGGAGTCGATGTGTCTGACGGAGATAAACCATCCGGGTTGCACGAAGGCTGATCAGGTGAGCAAATATCAGCTTCTGCCACGAGGGTTTTGTATCACGTGATTTGTTTTGATTAGCGTGGAAACGTCTTCTTGGTTTTCGAATCGCGTTCACAATAAAACTTTCGAGAAGTTCGGGTGAACATTCATTCTCCCTCGCTTAAAACATTTACGTTAATCATAACATTAAAGCAACGCAGAATTAATAACGGCATTAACAAAGATTCTTACTGCGTCCATCATCAGGTCAATGGTGGAGGCACTAACCATCTCTGAAACGTCGGTTAATGCGAGACAAAAGACAGCCAACTTTATAACAGCCGCTGTGATAACCTGATTTCTCACATAATTTTGTACTATTACTTACTTCTTCCACAGTGCAATATAAGATATTGCTATTGTTCGCAATCTGCGAAGTAAACAATAAAAATTAGCCTTAAAATGCAACGACACGCATCGAATGATTAGGCTCATGGTAACATTTTGTGGCTACGAAAACTTATGAAATGTAAGCATTTGTCGGATTTCTCGGCAGTAACACTGCGTGCACACTGCTAGTACTAATTCTCCACACAGAGTAAAAGAATTCTCCAAATATTACGAGCGTATAATTTTCGGAAGGTAGACAAAGTCCAGAAGAATTATTTAACTGCACTCGTGAGACAACTTCATGTTTCAAGAAAATCGACCCACGTATTTATAAGACAGTGGACAGAAACACAGAGAACACGCCATTTCGTTAGGCGAAGACTACGCGTGTGTTACGGCACTGAAGTCGTGCTTAAACCTGTATTTTCTGAGAAGGCTAACATTCCAGGATCAATATTGGGATTAATTTCCGTGAATTCCATATGAGTACTGGCATCGATAAATTGAGTTTTATATATTTCACGGAACTGCGCAATAAGGCAACAGCAACGGAATATTCAGTTTGCGGTGATTAAAATTAAGCCCATCTAAAAGTCTTTCAGAGTGGCAATTACGTATTGGCGAATAATAAGAAGCCTTGACATTACTCTGTGAAATATTTTGTGCATAATTTCTGAAACACGTCTGGATGCGTCTAAAATACACGGCCACAATTTTACAGCTTAGATTCGCGTTCTCATCGAATCATCCCTGGTCTACATAAGACGCTGTTTCAGGACGGTCGTAAATGTCGGATGTGGAAGGCTCGATTGTGACCTTTCTGAAGGCACCGATCCAGCATTTGAGGAAATGAATAAAGATCTAACACGAGAACTGCGACTGTCAACAGCGCCAGTGAGACCTTCGGTCTGCAAACGTCCGATTCCCTTGCAGCAGCCCCTGGCAACCACACAACAAGAGAAACTGCAATCTCCAAAGTTTCTGGTAACGAAATAAGAATCTTCCTAGAGCGTTCTTGCGACCTGACAGTGTCGGGTAGAGGACAGTCACACCGCCCTCTCGGACCCTTTAAAAACACAGCGCGCTCCTTGCCTCTGCAGGACCTCACGTTTTCGTCCGTACGCTGACATTTTTAAAAATACGCATGCAGACATTCAGTGAACCATTACATACGTCAGCATTGGCACTTGGCACGTGTTTAAAATGACCACCGTTAGCTTCGTGGCGCAATTGACAGCGGCGAGCAAAGTCGTCTTTTTGGGACACCCTGCAGAATAACGCTGACGAAACAGAGACACCTTATTGTTTTCGCCAGAACTAGCTACACATGAGGGGGGGGGGGGCTGCGTGATAGCGCAACCGGTGGGCCCCGTCACCTGGCTCGATTCCCTCTGCAGTTCGGTGAGGACGTAGAAGCGAGGGTCCGGAGCGCTGTCCCAGTCGCCGTGGGGTCGGAACTTGGCTGACAGCCGTGGAAGAAGGTAGGACGTCGTCTCGTGGTCAGCCGACGGCGCTGCTAGGGCCTCCAGCAACGGGGGTTCGATGCTAGCTGTGCCACAGGACACTAGCGCTGACAGCAGCAGTGTCAGCACCGCGGCGAGCATCTTGATGTCCCCCTGAAAAGACACGCCTTCACTTAGTGTCGGTTCATTACCTCAATGTTCTTGTAACTCAAAAGTTGCATCCTCTGTAAGAATCGTTGAAGTTCACAGGCACATACGGCGATCACGACAGTGGACACAGAAGCTAAGAGCTCGTTTTAGATAATACACCAACACCCGTGCAATTAACGTCCAGTGAGGTGTTACATAAATACGGTCTTTTGAAATGCACACCTTTTATTCTCTGTTAAAAACCATCATATTTTTAACTTGCAGTATATCAATTAATTTGTTTCGCCACTGATGACGACCTCTAGAGATCGAAACGCGTTTGGCATTAGTGTCCTTCAAGGCGTCAACACGGCATGCAAGGTTTTAAGTCTGCAGTCGGTGACTTCTGTTTAAGTAACTGCTGTGCTCAGCGGCTGTAAAATCTACTTTGCAGACGCTCTGTGGTGAAATGTTGATGGCGTATTTACAACAAACACCGGTCTTTCGTTTTTATTAAGACTAGAGCAGAGCGCTCCTTTCGGTGCTCCTCGGGGGGTTTGGTTGCGTTTATAAAATCTTGTGTCTTACACAAGTCATTTGTTTACTCGGCATTGTTGTGTTGGTACAACAATGCCGAGTAAACAAATATAACGTACCATTGTTTGATGACGTCATTTCTTGACGACAAATTTATTTGACGACGACAAATCACAAATTTTTATAGTAGAGAATTAAATTAAATACTGAGCGAGAAATAGATGCTACGAACGGGATAAATCATTTTCAAACCGCAATATTCTATCCTGACGAATTGGTCGAGATGGGAAACTTTCGTGGTCTGCAGATCGTTGGAAGTTTCTGGCACCGTCGCCAGACAAAAGTCGCGGAAAGAAAGAAATGAACAGCTCAAGCTGTCCACTTGCAGCTTTCAGACAACGGAAGGTGTCAGAAGCAATGCACACGACGTCTTCATTATACAAGGGCCTGAATACGTGATTACGTGGTCCCTGAACTTCCTGAATCAGATCCACTGATATTGGACCCATACGGTAGAGAGACACGTGTCAGATCCTAATACATTATCAGCGCAGTCTTCTGATGCTCCTGGAGAGACGCCTGCCCGCCTGCCACCATTTCTGTTTCCAGCGAGGTCCTCACAGCTGCGTGTTCCGAGGCAGCTGTGGGGCAAAACAGGCACAGGGGACTCTTTTCTCACGACAGCCGACAGAGAGCCACAGGTTATGTGACTGCAACCTCAAGCTGGGCACTGGACCAGGGGTACTGAAGGGACACAGTCCATCGCACTCCTGGTCACTTCTGCGATTTGAGTATCGAGTGTCGTGTGTTTCTAAAGGCACCTTCACAATCGCTCACAGTTGGCTGCTTTCCGATGTCACACGATCAAAACACAAAGAAGTTTTGCTTCAAATAAGACGCCAGCGTCTGTAACCCCTCGCGACAGACGACATTAACTGGAAGTTTAAAAGTTAAAGTGCGAAGTTCTGTAACAACGTGCAGTCTTTTATAAATTACTGTTCCTTGTAACTTCAGAAAGGGTTTTAATTATGTCATGAGGAACACACGTGAACTTTCGTGAAACCTACCAGAGGGCGCTTGTGAATTTCAAATTATTTTCTCCCACTTTTCTGGACTGCTTTTCGAACAAGAGGGTCGCGTGTCCGCACGTTTCTACGTAGTTCTGTCCTGTTTTAGCGTCACAGCACGTCGAGCGTCGTACGTCGTATGTCATTTACGAAGTCACTAACTGCATTTCGGAAGGTTTCGAGAAAAAACTTCTACATTTCCTCTCGCAGGCGCATCTGCAGAGGCTGGATGAGTTGTCAAAGCACCGTTTCTGCGGCAAAACGCCAAGGCACTAGTTGGTAACTTCTACGCATGATTCGAAGCGAGTTCATTACAATTCCCTGCTGAAGCAGTTTCTGGCAAAAACGTCGGCTAACGACGTTTCCACGCACAAGTATCTCCACAGAACACAGAGTTGCAAATTATTTGATCTTGTAAGCTTAATTCTTGAATGTTCACCAAGTCGAAAACAGTTTCAAAGAGGCCTGCCTCGCCGTGTGCAGGTGCTGAAAACCGAATTTCTGCCAGGAGAATTTTGTGGAGCTTTCCCGGAAAAGTTACGATTTCCTGTAACACACTGCGAGGGTGTCGCTGGAGCGGACGATGCAGAGGAACTGTGCACAAGAGAAGACGGACAATACCCTGAGAGGAGGGGAGGGGGAAACTGAAGGCAGTCACAGAATAATACGAAGATGGAGCACGAGCGCGGTTCGAACCCAGGATCCCAGTATACAAGGGGCAAGATCGACGCTCTCCAGGGCGAGTGGCCACTGAAGTCGGTGGAAAACAGGGGAAGACAACCAGACCTCAGGGTCGACAAAACGAGCAGAACGCTGTGGAGAAAACTGGGAAGGATGGACCAAACAACAGTAAAAGAAAGCTGGACGATACAGAGAGATGGGAACGATGATAACTCAGTTCTCCTGTCCCTCCCCCTTTCTGAATACACGGGAGCGTCTGAAGGGAATCGCAGGACTTGAACTAACTCTTGTTCCTTGTTTCAGTTTTGTTCGTAAGAGCTGTCAGTCGATAACAAACAACCCCCCCCCCCCCCCCCAATCGAGCGGATGAGAGGTGACATTGAATGGCGAGAAGAATTTGAGAAGACAACTTTGTTCCAAATCACGTGGAAAACCGACTGGATGCTACTGGACCGACGCACACAGCGGTGGGACGTGCGGGGAACCTCGCCCTCTACAGTTGTGTGTGAAAGGTGTCTGGTTCGAACCCCGACCGGGTTACGGCTGTTCCAACGCAGGTCTCCCGTATGTTACTTCTTACGCGAATGTTGGGATAGTAGCCATCACCCTTCATGATTACGATTTCATCAAATTCAGCAGCATTTATCTCAGGGGGCAGCGAACTCGGTAACAGACTTCCCTGGAGTTAAATTCGTTGGGCAACTGAGCGACCATCAGCTTCTCGACTTGGACTCCGCCCCACGGAGTCACTGGACCTACAAATCAGTTACTTCCGAAAGCAAAGCAACGAAGTAACATTTTGTGCAGCCTGGTGTTCCCGTCCGCCGACAGAGTGCACCAGCAGCGCATCATAAAGTGTCTCCGTTTTCCATTCTTACGCGTTCCTTGTACACTCAGAGCATGAAATCGGCAGGTAAGTATCAGGAAGGACGTGTCTGTTTGCATGCACATGTCTCGCCTCTGAAACCGCTCGGTAGATACTGAGGAAATTTGGTGCTGGGGGCTCTGCGAACTGCTAAAACGTCTACCTCATGGACAACCACGTCTACTTTGCACGGAGTTAGAGTTGAAATTTACCAGAAATTTAACAGCAGGCATCATCACGTTTTGCGACTTGAACAAAAATGAATTATATTCAAAAGTCTTCTAGACACAATAAACGCAAGGTGTTCTTTTGGAAAGCGCATTTTCAGAAGTGGACTAAACACGTCCAATCATTTACAGTTAATTTATCTGTCGCTGACTGTCACAGCGGAGAGTTTCGGATTCTTTAGCCGTGTGGTTGGTAACACTGCCACTTATCTTCATGTAGAGAAAGTGACCTTTGCAACGTCGGTACACCCAGAGGAGAGCCATCTTCAGATTCCGATGGGGCTCTTCAACTGCTACGCTGTGGAATGCTAACCTCGTGTTTTATAGAGACGCACTGCTCTTAATTACGTTACGTTCATAACATGAGACTTCATAAAGCAAGGTTTCCCATTTCCTTCCTGAACCACACCCCACTCCAGAGATACACAAGAGCTCCTCTGTTAATTTCCGTGAACCTGCACAATTAGCTCTTCATTACTCCACATCTGCGCTAATTCTCTTGACGGCGCCACAGTTTGCACTGTTTCACCTCACTGCCACCAGACAGCAGCACAAAGCCACAATACGAGGCAGCTGATGCAGCCTCCGAAGCTGCAACATTGCACTCGGGATGCAAGAGAATTCGCCCTCTCGTCTGCCGTCTGAAAACGTAAAGACTTGACCATAATCGCATCTGTTGTTTTTCCTGGGTGTGAAACTTGGTCTTCCACCCTAAAAGGAGAATTCACACTGAGGGTGAATGAGAACAGGGTGTTTAATGGTGGATTTCTTTGCAAAAGACTTTCGCTTGTACAGATGTTCATTGCTGGGAAGTGCCGGCCAGGCTTCGTGGTTTTCTTAAGTCACTTCATACATGCAACGACCGTGTCGTATCACATTTTTGCAAACTAAATCTTCATAATCACCAGTGACCTTGAACAGCCTACCCTAACAATAAATTAAGACAGAAGAAATATCAGAAAAAGAGGTTACACACATTACACGTGGGCCTGTTTTAACAAAAGACCTTTCTTAAGTCCGCAACTGCTCACGAGGAGGCAGTGTGAGGTCAAATGGGGCGAACCTTCGCTTCGCTGGTGACTTCAGCCATATTGTCTGTTGCCGATGCGAAGAATTTTTCCCAGTCAGAGAAGAAAAAGGGAGAATCTGGATTTTGCACCACGAAGGGAGGTATTTTGCAGTTGGACTCTCAACAAGGCCCGTTTCTTGGAAACCACAAATTGGAACCGATAAGTAGCAACGTCGTTAACGAAGTGGGCGATGCAGGAAACACGTGGAATTAATTGGTCCCATGGTCTCTGTTTCGCCACTGCCAAGACGTCGCTGTTTCAAAGTTGAGATTGAATTCTCGTAATTCAAATTTATTATCAACGTACACAGGAATTACGCCGTTCGCTTGCTGTCTTTTCTTCGTACATTCTTGTGCATTTCTACGGAATATCTTCAGAACGGAACAAAGGACTTGCGACTCCAGAACAATGCCAAGCTCCAACTTACTTAAACAATGTTCTTTATATACTGCAAAAGTTCGATGGATAAACCCAATGCATTCCGAAGCATTTCGGAGCAAAACTGTTGTGTTGCCCCGTCCAATGAGCGTCTGAGAATGAATCACAGGACTCTTCATTGTTCGCAGATAAGCCGCGT